ATCAACCTCAACAGAAAGATCTATTCAGATGTCATTCCTAGGAATAAACTCTAACAATATCTTTGATCTTTAAAGTTCCAAGTGACTGGATTCCTAATTCAGCCGGTTATACATTTGTTGCCAGAGAGCGCTGTGTACTTCCTGAAAGCATATGTGCTGCACAGCAGGAGGTGTGTGCAAGCGGACCTGCTACAACAATACTAATGATGATCAGTCTAGTGATGGGCCACGTCTGCACTCCAGTGCTTTATGCCATTGTTGTAAAGGAAAAAAAAATGGGGTCCACAATGGTCAGGAAAAACTGTGCTGGAATGCCCCTAACAATCAGCTTCCAGTGAAAAATGCACAATGGACTTAGGCTGTCACAGTAAATATGAATGGTCCTTCCCCCCCCCCCCCACCCCCCTTCACTTTTGGGGGAGTGTTGTGAGAATATGGAGTTGCATCTGGTTCATGCCAGGGATTATCCGGAGCAGCAAATGTGAACTGCTTAGGCAGAACAAGTTACCTAGAATTAGCATAACCTTTTTGGGTTGCTCTACTTCTGGCACTTTTGTTCCCAGAAACCATAAACCACCACTTAAGAAAATAAGACAGCTATATACTAGAGCCAGAACTACTTTTCAAGGTTCTGAATTAAGCAGCCGCATTAGAACGTGAAGGAATGTGCTTCAAAATTACTTAAAGGTTAATAGAAGAAGGTAAGACTAAGGCACTATAAAATAGACATCTTTGGAAATCTAAAACCAGTGTTTACCATGAGTAGAAGTTTGTCTATGTTGTTTCTCAGACAAGTATGAATAAGGTTGAATGGCTGACTTCCATCTCTTTGGAGATGAGTAACAGAGTATTTCCTTCTACACGGATACCATCTGGAGACCAGCTGCTGAATTCTCTCTGAAAAAATGAATGCTAGGGCAGGTAATCCTTGCATCATTGCTCTAGGACAAGAGTTTGCCTCTGGTGCCATAGTGAGGCACCATTGCTCTAGGACAAGAGTTTGCCTCTGGTGCCATAGTGAGGAGCTGTGATCACTTATCACGCACCTTGGAAAGTGTGGACAGCAGAAACCCTGTTCTCTGTTTTGCCCTACGTTCCCTGGCTCCTTACTGTGGGCATCTGCTCCTTACATGGTGTGAAGGAGCAACATAGGGTACAGTTATGCTTTTAAACCAAGGGAAAAGCCACAGGAAGCTGGAGAAAGATGAGGCTGCACTCTGGGAAGGTCTAGCAGGAGGTTGCTGCTTTCTGCAACTATCTCAGAAATTCAAGTGGGAATGCAGAGTACAAGACAGATGAACAAAGAAGGCAACAGAGTGGAACGAGTAACAGGTCCCAGTGAAAACCAGAACAGACAGGGAAGAGCATTACAAAGAGCTCATCCAAGTTTATGTGCAAATAGTAATGCTAACACTGTCTATGATTAACTTCTCTTCAGTTGCCTGAACGCTGTCTGCATGGAAATGTATAGATTTAAATTTATGTTCTCTTTAAGAATCTCTTTAAAGATGTTAACTTATTTTTATCAAATATTAACGATATTTATGGCTGTTCTCTGCTCTCTTTGTTGGTTCACGCTATCTCAGCCATTGCCTAAACATGAGAAAGCAGGAATTGTTTGAGCAACTAAAGTGGATGTGCAACACTTCATATTCTCCCTGGTACAGTTAGTTTCCATCACTGCCCTCTATGACTAGAGCTGCTTTCTTCTTAAGTTTTCACTTACCTCCCTGCCAACAGATGAAGGCTATTCCTCTTATACTGTAAGGCTTCCAAGCTATCACAGCCACTAGTAGCTATAAATGAATGTTAATTCTAATAAACATCTTACCTGCTGCACTGCAGATGACAGTCCCTTTCTTGTCTGCTCTCTCTGCCAAATAGACCAGAATACATTGCAACATCAAACATGAATGAATGAGACTGAGACTTTGAGCAGCTCTGAGGCGTTTGGCCATAATTACTACATCAAACTGTGCTAGGCAACCTGCTTCGTGAGGCAGAGTTCATGACACCTATGATTACATGCTGCATGTTAAAATGTGGCAAAAATAATTTAGTTAATCAGAAAAAGCAACTTACATTAAGCAACACTCTAGAATACAAAATGCTGTCACTCAACATGAAATTTAAAATATTTTATTAACAAATCTGTAAGAAATTACATTGGCAAGTGATTTTGTCAAAAGTCTCAGGGAGAATCAACTTGGAATTAGATTTAGGGCTCACAGTGCTATGGCGACAATACCGTGCTGCATTCAGACCCATAGGCATGGCTCAAAGGTAACTCCTAGTATCTTCTCCCTGCCAGCTGAGGGGAGAGGCTACAGAAATAATTCATTCAAACAAAATGCATAAGCTGACATTTCAAAACATGCATCAACTTTGGATCGGGGCTTTTAGATTTTACCACTGTAACCAAAGACAACTGACAAGAGGTTTTTTTTTCCCACTCCTAGAACTGTTATACTGAGAAATATTTAGATCAAGAGAAATCAAAAATTAATCACTGTGCCTCAAAAAACCCAGAAAAGTATGTGGAGTGGGGCCATGCTGTTAATACTACATAATCAGGAGTTGTCTGTGCTGTCTTTACATTGATTTTCCCAGTGAAAGTAAACTTTTCTTTTCACATAGATTTTCTCCTCCTAGTCTGCTAGGTCTGAGCAAGATTCCCTCAGGGTACCTGAATTACAGCTTATGAAATACTGCTGGCTGTTCCCTATAGGACCATCACAACAGCCACTGACAACTCCAATCCCATGTGCATTGCTTTAGCAGCATACAGTAGTGTTACAGAAAGGGCTCTCAATGCAGAAGATAGCTTCTTCACGTTTACATTCATTTTTGTGGGATGAACAGTGACTCTTATAATAGCTTGAAATTCTAAAGCAAAAAGATGGAAACATTTTACTATCTAACTCCACATCCCTGAATTTTTTCATATAATTGGAAAATCTATTTTCTCAGCTCTATTTCCATGTAATAGATACTGGTCAGTTTCTTTCACATATGTTTAAGTCAATGCTGACTGCAGTTTAAAACAAAGTCCAGAGCAGATACTGGATGCTTTTCATTACAAAAAAAAAAAAAAGTTTTCTGTAATACAAATATTACAGAAAGGAAATTTTGCTCTATGCATTCTTAGATAGCATGTTTTTACAGATGATGTGTTAGAAATTAACCAGCAATGGTTCAGGTTATGAAGTTTTAGGAAAAGTTTGCATTTTCTATTTTCAACAAACATGAAAGTACTTGAAAGGGTTACAGTTCAAAACTTTCCCCCCGCCCCAGAGGCCATTAAATCTAAGTATTTCCAATATGCAAGTTTACAGTAATTGCCACTTTGATTTATTTTATCTTTAAATACCTTCTTATATTTACATTTTCCTAGATATTAATTATAAAACATAATTTCCCTCTCTGCTTCCAAGACACATTTACTGTTTCTTTCATTTGACAAATCAAACCTAAAAGCATGATGTGATGAAACTGATGTAAACCCTATATTAAAAAAAAAAAAAAAAGTAGTTAAACCCTGGGAGATAGATAATACTACTCAGTTAAACGTACCAAGGATTTCACTAATACCTGCAATATCAGTTACATTTCCTTCTTTCAAAGTGCCTCCCTTAAAGTTCATTCCATATAAGATATCAGCTTCCTGAAAGAAAAAGATCTCTTGACTGGTTCTCACAGCAACCACGTTCCAGAGATTAATTCTGCCCTGGTTTACACTTTTTATACACCACAGAAATTTCAGTACAAAGTCAGAGAGAAATTTGGCCATGAATTCAGGTTTAATTCATATAGCTCCCCCCCCACACACACATTTTCCCCCGCTGTATATTCAATCACTTTGAAATAACAAAGCTAGCATTTTGAATTCATGATTTCTCTGCCTTTGGCCCAAAGAACTCAGCTGGATTATCCCTGGCCTTCCCCATACCCTTCTCTGGGATCCCAGTGCATGTATTTGCACGCTATACAACATCCCCACGCTACTGATTTGCTTGGTGTTTGGAACAATTTTCAAATAGAAAAATTAAACATAGTGGGGAGACAGTACTAGTAATACAGCTAGGAACTTACTAGCTCATCTGTCCTATACGTGTGCGTTCCACTCCATTTAAGCTCTAGGCAGAGAACAAATTGAATAGGAAACTGGGCTCACTCTGCCTAGATTGCAGAAGAAAGGAGGGGATAGGGCGTATATGTATGTGAACACATCAGACCTCTAGTGGACATAATGGCTAAATGCCTATGTAACCTGGACATGAACATTGCATGGGACATCCATAGGTACTGGCAGGGAAAAAGTTCTGAGAAGTCTGTTTCAAAAGCTCATCTATTATTTATATAAAAATATCATATGTCCCATCACTCTGAATGTAGTTGTGATGAAGCACAGGTGTCCACTAGGAAATACATCAACATTCCCTGATTTTTCACCTAATTTCAAAATTATATAATAGCTGTTCAAATTTACAGCAGTTACAATAGGACAGCCAAAGGACGACTTTTCAGCTGAGAAAGAGCGGAGTGCGGTGGGTTCTGGCTTCTCCTTCCCCGTTGCTGACATCTGCTGTTCAGTCACAGCAGGGATGATATTTAGGAACAAGGTATTCTGCACTTACAATTCATAGGGGGTTCCTTACCCCTGAGAAATTTATACCTAATAAGTACACCCTCACCCAGTTGTTCTAGAACTAGAATGGGAAGACATAGGGGTGCGGAGAGAAATCTGATAGGAATTAAACTACCATCATCCAAGTCTTCCAATTTATTATCAACTTTTTTAAAAGCTGGTACAGTAATTTTAACCGAGGATCTCAAAAAACAAATCACACACGGGGCACGTTTTGGTACTATTAACAGTAAAAACATCTACCGTCTACGGTGATATACCTCAAATCTAAACAAATTTCTTCCTGTGAATATATTATCAATGATGTGATCCAGCAGGATACTAGACACAATGCCACCTATTGCACTCTGTGTGAACATTTAGACAGTCAAAACTGCTTTTATTCACCAAGTTTTCATGCATCACAATTGATATCTTCTTTTTAGTAAAAGGATGACATCACATATTTCAATGAATAGCAATAAACGAAAAGGAAACATTAAAAAGCTTAGTAAAACCAGTTAAATATTTGAACTGAGGTAAAGTTACAAAATAAACAACTGATTACAGGGCTAAAAAGCAGTCCGTATCTCCAAAGAGAGAACTGGAACCCACAGAAGAGCCAGTTGTTATTCTTTGATATTTTGAAGTAACCTCAATAAATGCGACTCAATAACCTGTTGAACTAAAGCAGAGAAGTAATTTGGTTAATCAACGTTCAATGTTTTTTCAAGTCTTTAGGGCGAAACTATTTTTCTGACAAACGCTGGCTTGGCCTGTGCAAACTTTTAACAAAAACAGACGGAAATTAATTCGCTCTGAGTTTGCTGCATCTCTTCAGAGAAAAAGCCTCATATAATGCAAAAAGAATACAATGGAGATGGTTCTGGGAGGTGATGATCTGTTCCCTGATTTGAAGAGACAAATAGCAAACAGAAAGTGAATTTGTAAGCTTATAAATGGAGAGTAGGCAAGAATACTCATCAGAAACTACTGCTGTTGAACATTTTGAGATTGAACTCTTGAAAGAGTCCTACAGTTAGATATCCATGAAGTTACCGGCTACCCGAAAAGCATAAGGCTCTGCTTAGAGAAGCTACACGTGCAATGTCAGGCTTATGTTTGGATTCAGCTCATTTCCATAAATAGAGAGATTTCATAGCTTTCAAAAATAAGGCAGCATGACAGAAAAAAACAATGGAAAGACCCTTCTTTGCCTCTTTCTTTTCTATGGGGAAGAACTGGCCTAATTCACTGATCCTTGTACTATCATTGCCTTCCTCCAAGATAAGGCCTCCTCTGCTAGAGCTAGTCCGACAGGGGACTCGCATCATGTCAATCAAACAGAGCACTGGAGTGAGGAGTGAGTGTCCTGGGGGGCTGCAGGCCTCTATAATCATTGTCCAGTGCAACACATACACTTTGCACTGAGTAGTGGAGCAGCTCAGCTGATGGCTATATCAGCTCTACTCACTGCTATCTGTGCCCCAACGTACAGATCCAGCTAGGTGAGATTTTTCTCACAAGGCACCTTGGTTTCTGTACCAGGGCAGAAAATAGCCTTATCCATTTAGTCCTAAAACATTTAGGAGTATAAAGACAATTAGGACAGGGATCTTCTTATATTTGCAGAAACTCTACCAGCCTATTACAGCAGCTACATAAACAAGGAGCAGTAAAGACAAAAATCAAAGAATTTACATTTGTAATACTCACCACTCCTATAGCCCAAGGCTACAGCCAAATCCATGGAATTATAGCCAGCATCTGTTTCAATAGTTGGATCAGCACCACTTTCTATATGAAATAGGAAAAGAATCAGACTCAGATTTCTGACAGTGAGAACTCATAGCACCTCATTACTGATGGCTCAGTTTGGACAGTTTGCTTACCAAGAAGAATTTTTACACATTTCACATGGTTCCCATGTACTGCATAGAGTAGAGGTGTGCCTCCATTCTGCAAAAGCAGGAAAAAGCCTTTAGGCACTTCACGGTTGAGCAACTGTAATTCCTTGACATACCAGTACTTCTGTGCATCAATAACAGAATTCATAAGCTTTATGTAAAAATTAGGTTCTCAGTTTTGGTTCTTCGTCTTCCATCTTTTTTGGTCTACTGCTTAGGCTATAAGCTCACTCTTCTACAAGGGTATCAGTCTTATTGCTCTTTTCACCAAAAAGTCAGAACCAACAGGACCAGCTTCTCTTACTTTGTTGAACAGCACCCTATATAAAGTTTTGAAAACCTCAGATATTTCAGAAGAGGTAGAACAATTTTCAAACCCAAGCCAGTGCTGTGCCTTGCTTCAAATTTCCGACCAAAGCACACCCAACTTGGTAAATTCCAGTCAGAGACCTACCCAGTCATACTCGTTTACATCAACTCCACAGTCAAGCAGCATTTTGACAATATCTGTATATCCTTTACTGCAAGCCAGTGAGAGGGCACTTTCTCGCCCTTTCCCCAACATCTGAGGATCTGCACCCTGAAAGAATAATAATTAAAAAAAAATTTTCTTTGAAGTGAAGTTTCACAGGGAACTCAGCTTTAACACTTTTAAATACATAGTAGCATTGACAAACCTAGAAATGCAAATTAGCTAAGAAGTCGATCAAGAAATTTCAAATGAATTGTATTATTTTCCTTACATTCTGGAGGAGAAATTCCACTACTGCTATCTGCCCGTGAGCAGCAGCCCACATCAGAGGGGTAAATCCTTCTTCATCCTTATGATTGATTACATTTTCTGTTTATAGAAGAAAATACAATTCAGTAATCCTTTTCACTGAGGCACTGTATGAGCTGTGGTAGAAAAAAAATGTGTTGACATATCCATTGTGAATGAACTGAGGCATGATTGTGCCCTAGCAGTCGCTCTCATGTGAACTTACAAACGACATTTTATCCCAGTGGTGATGCAAATATCGTCATACAAGCAAAAACCAAAAATCCAATAAGCCAAATTAAAAGTTAGGAGTTCGGTTTTTTAAAATTTTTTTAGTTCTATAAATGAAGCTCTGTTTTTACTCAAGAGTTGCGGGTTGTCTGTAATTTGGGCTATGTCTTTGGAGAGAAGAGAAGGGCTGCCTCGAAAATAAGGAAATACATTCTGTATTATACTGCAGAAAGTGCTTTTTTCAGTACAGTTAGAGACACACAATCTTCTAAAGAGTTAACTTGTAAAGCAATATAGATAGTATTAATCCATCCCCGTGGAAAGCCTGGGTAATCAATAGGGTGTTTTCTGGAAAGACCGACTGAAAATTTAAGTTGAATTAATCTTTTATATCTAAACTCTCTAAAAAAAAAAAAAAAAATCCATGCTTTCTCATAGCACTATTATAAGCATTTTAACTGTTACTGACACTTTAGAATCAATTTGCTTTTTATATAATTTGTTAATTATTCATAGATACACACTAAGCTACTCATCATCTGCTTTCCATAAACATTTCAACAAACATTCACTGAAAGCAACCCTGATTACTAATAGTACAATAAGAATTTACATTCAGTCTGTTCAATATATAATATAGCATTGAGACAGAACAGAATGTGATCCATTGCTTAGATTACCAACATAGAGCTCTGTAGGTAACTGATCAAATACAACTGGAAAGCTACCATTAATAGGAAGGTGTTTCACATTACATTAAAAAAGCAACTCCCCTGATAGAATTAAGAGATTCTCTTCTCTCATTTCCATGGATTATTTACATGCTTGGGGAGCAGGGGGGAGAAGGGATTTACCTACAGTTCCCTCTAATGATAATGTTTCATTTTAAACACAAACCACAGCACTGAGAGACACACACGAAACAGTAATCCACATTTCCAAAGAACAGATACCTCAAATATTGTAGCACGTTTGGAGATTTTCTGTGCAGCTTCAGGGACAAGTTCAAGCATAATAGGGTATAAATCCCTCACAGGGAAAAGAAGGGAGTTATTTAAGCTCCTAGTCTTACCTTGTTCAATACGTGTGGCCAGATACAGCATTTCTCCCTGAGCAGCTAGCTGATGAACTGATAGAGCTGCAAAAAAGGGAAGCAAAATCACGTAGCATGCACACAAATTTTCATTCCACTTTATTTGGAGTTGGGCATAATGTGTCCGTTTGCTTGCACAATACAAAACTTGGATTTGAGAGCATACAGAAGATTTCACCTTATTTTAAAACAGGAATTGTAATTACTGTCTTAAGAATTAAAAAGTTTCTGTATCAAGCACATAAAATTGGAGGTTACGAAGAATCAGAAAAATCTTTCTGGTTTTCAAATCAAGAATTGGATCCTCTCTGGTAAACGTGCTTCAGTCGTGAACTCAATATAGCAGGTGGATTACCATTTCATGGCTGGGACAATGTGAAATTAGACAAGATTATCTCAATGTTTTCTTCCTTCATTACAGCTCGTTCATTGAAAGAGCAAAGCAAAATGGAAAAAATCTGGCAAGTAGCTAGCTTACAGTTCACAAAAGTAATTATTAACAGTAAGGCAGAAGGATACTTACAATTTACAAGCAGAGGTGTTGTAGAGACTTCATTTCCCCTATGTTTGTTAGTTAGGGTAGTTGATTGTTTTATTGGTGAGAAATGCTTAGTAGTTGATGGAGTGTAAACATGTCTTACTTGGATACCAGGGGAAGGAGAAGTATGGATGTTGCATTCAGCTACATTGAATAGAGAAAATAAACAAGATTTTAGTGCTAGTACAATCATTAAAAGAAATCCGCAGATTCCAAGTCAAACTAGAAAGCGCCAATGTCCCAAGATCTTTAAAACCTGCATTAAGTAAGTCTGTAACATGTGCTTTTTCCGCTGCGGTAGTACGTGACCGAAGAAAGGACTGCATTCACTCTGGCATTAAAACAGTACTCATACCCCACAGGTAAGTATAGCATAGTATCACCCAGAGACAACTTAGTATCTAAATGAAGTGAGCCTCTGTCTAGATATTCTGCTCATGTCTGGCATGGGTTTATCAAGTAAGAGAGCACTACCTGACCTGTAATATCTTTAGTAACACTCGCCAGTGCAATGAACACGAATCAGCCGTGGTCATGTAATTTCTCAGCTCATCCTTTTGCCTACTGTCTAACCGATCTACAGCATGGCTGGACCCAGCCTTCACTAAATTTCTTCATCAGGACTTTCTCCACTCCTGTTTGACAAAATTTTAAGTGCATTATGAATGTCTTATGAATATTTATCCAAGAAGAATAAAGATCTTCCACACTAACTTGTAGAAAATGCAATCACAGGACACCAATGAGAATTCAAAGTCACTCACTATTGCTGTGTTTGTGTGTACTAACTTTTCTAGCTTTCTAACAAAATCTAATAGCATTTTATTACAGAACGTATGCATTGTCTTGGCTTCTTATTCACAGAAGAATAGCTTGTGGTTCTGAGAAGTAGCCGAGAAGCCAAACATTTTTTTAAAAAGTTGAATGATTAAACACTGGGAAGACACAGTGAAGAATAAAACTCCATTACTGGCCAAATTGATTTGACACTAGCGTGGACTAGTAATTAATGAGGTGAAGCTAATTAATACGCACACTGAATTCACGCTATAAAGAACTTCATGATTACAAACTCAAGTGCAAGTTTGGGAAGAGAACTGACTAAAAGACCTATAAATGACCCTGGACAACAGGATGAAAACAAAATTACACTTTGTTTACCATTTAAATAGCTTCAGCTGAGGTTATCGAATTAAGAGACCTACCAGGGATTTTTGACCTGCGGTCCCTGGATCGCAGGACTACTTCTAAGGGGTTCACAAATGTACAAATGTTACCTAAGGGAAAAAAAAAACCCTATTGCTGACAGGTCTAAATTTGCCGTTCGGGTCTGCAGCTCCACTAGAAAGCACTTAGGGCCTGCAAATCAAAAAAGTTTGAAAATTACAATGGCTGAACTGCAGCCAAACAATACAAATTACAGAAATCATCAAAATCCACAATAGGCCTGTGTTTGTGCATGCTACAGCAAGTGGGTCAGGTTCAACACAATGACAAGATACACTACTAACAGTCTGAAATATTAAAGCAAACGCTGATAAACAGTTTTTCAGAGGAAACAGAAATAAATCCTCATTCTGTTCTCTATAGGTAAGCCCAGCCATGACAACACCCCAATCAACTCTGATGAAGCTGCACAGCAGCAGGTGGAGATTAGCAGCAGGGAACAGCTTACGGACTTGTGGCAATATTCACTTCCAAATAGCGTGAAACCAAATTGGCAAATCAATCACCACAGTGACCGCAGGCTTTGTGCAGCCATATTAATAAAACAAAGTCAACCATATAAACTATGTTATTTTATCATGGTAGTAGTGAAAGGCTAAAACACAAAGGTATTGAAGTTGAGATGATCATCTAATATGGTAAGACTGGAGAGTTAGCCACTAAAAGTAAGGTTGTTTTCATAATCAGCCTCAGCTCTTAAGTACATTAAAGACTTTTTGTGCCACTACTTTTCAAATAAAAATAATCTTGGGGGAAATCAGTTTACATTAATAGCCCATTATTGACTGCATATAATAAAAATTCTAAGGGAACAAATCACAGAAGATTCTCACAGATTTAGCACACACATGATGTTTTAACATATTAGCTTAACAGTGGGACAGTTCACACACAACAATTTGTACCATAAAGTTCAACCTTTAAATAAGACAGATGCCACTTCAAGGTCAGAGTTAACTTGATCTTGAATATTTTTACTGTCCTCTTCATTCAAAGATTTCACAAATCGCGAGCAGACATTCATATCAAATCTGTTGGGCAAAATGAATTTCATTCCCATTGTGACACTCTGAGCTGGGCCTTCCTCTGTGCTAGGGTCAAGCTGATGTTCCACCTTAATGTCTGGCATAGGTGGAAGGCTGTAGCTAGTGGTGCATTCTTCCACAACTAACTGGGCTCCAACATCTAAGTTTGTTGAAGACGCCATGGCTTCAGTCACGTCATATAAGTTCTACGTAAAATGTTTCTTCATGGCTTCTAGCCACCACCAGTTCCAGTCAACCAAACTGTCTCCAACGCAACAGGGACATTAAAATAATCTGCAATTTAAAACAAACATTCTTCAGTTTGGATATTATATAACAACATTCTGATGAAAAAATGCATAAAGACACACCAAACTTCCTTTGATTACAGTCACGGCATTTTAGGTAGCTCAAAACACACTGAGATACCTCTGTCACCGGTGACACAAGCCATTAACCAAATCCTCTGTTTATTTTTTCTAATGTGGCTGGCTGTTCAAGCCAAACTCCTTACAGAAGGCAATAGGAATTTAGTTTAAGAAAAATTTCAGAATATTAGTCTAGTTGTAACAAAAAGAAAGAAAAAGAAAAAAAACCACTTATGCCAAGAACTGAAAAAAATGGTAAGAGGCAGATTACTTCATTGCCTAGGAAAGCATTAAAGGGATTATGCGTCTCTTCATGACTCTAAGTCTCCTCGTAAGCCAAGTGAAATAAAAGGGTCCTACCATACACGTAACAAAGTGATAAATCCCCTTCAGGCTGCCGACAGGAAAGCAGCCCAGGCTATTTAGGATGGTTTAACAGCACTGAGGGCGGTCTAAGCCGAGGGCAGACCGCGCGGCAGCGGCCGGCAGACAACAGCAGCTCC